CACATTGTAAAGTTTATAAAAAAAAAATTCTGATGTGTACACCACATGACTTCCTTGTCAGGAATATTAAATTATACGCATTTTTCCTGCATTTCATTTAAAACTTATTTCCTCGAATTTCATTAGAGATATATTTCTCATTCAATTAATTCAGTTCTCACTTCGATACAAGGCAAAAATGCATGAAATTTAAAGATACAGAAAAATATAAAATACCATATATTTATATCTGGTGTTTTATAACACCAAATATATAACAAACACCAAATATATAAGACTAAATATATAAAAATAATATATAACCAAATATATATGTTTTATAACACCAAATATAAAACAATTAAAAAATTTGTTTGTACAATTAAAATTACAGTTTCTACGCAAAAACAAGCAATTGGGCCAGCGGACAAAAAGGCAGATTTTTCGGTGCACCAAACTGAAAGTCTACTTTTGCTCTCACTCGGCAAAAAGACACTGAAGGCGTAGAAACTGACTTAATTTGTTGCGGACGCTATTTCCGAGTCAATATATGGAATAATTTAATAACTTAAATGATAATTCCAGAATGAATAAAGCCTAATTCAATTCGCAATAGTAAAAGACATTGTTTTGTTATTTGTTAACTAAAGGCATAAAAACCGTAACCGGAAGATAAGAACAACATAATTCAATCATTTTTAAAGCAAAAAATGAACAATTTACAAACGTGTAAGAAAAAACAAACTGCGCACACTGAGCCGAGTAACAGAGTGGATATATACATACATATATTTATGTACTTTTGGTACGGCCGATAGCAACTAAAAAGGAAAGATCACATCTACATGTTATAGCAGGACCACATACAAAATTTCAACTTTCTAAGGCTATTCGGTTTTGATTTATGGGAGATAAATACATATGCTATACGCTTTTGATTTATGTTTCATACGTACAGACGCCACGAAAAAAATCTCTTCTGAATCCATTTCAAATCAGTTTTATAATTCCGTTTCGGGAAACATAGTCTTTTATTCTGCCCTTACGTACAGATGTCACGCAAAAACATCGTTAAATTGCATTCGATAGCGGTCAAAATGAATATTTTCATTGAAATATGGTCCCCGGAATTTTTTGTAATTACAATACTTTCTTTACTTCGTAAAAGAAAGTAAAAAGAGTTGTTTAAATCTTTTTCTTTCTCTACAGTTATTTTTGTAGATGGGCGATAAACTACCGTACAGTCTCTGTAGGGAATATCAAGTTAATTACGGAATAGATCATACAAATTTTATTTAATGATATCAGCAGACTTAAACTGATGAACACGAATCTGCAGTGCTACAATTTTATCCATGGAAATAAACCTTCAAATCAGATGGGAGTATATTAGGTGAATAAGGGGCTAGTAGAGATGTATATGTTGAACCTTTCTCCAAATATCTCAGTTTTTCACGCAAATTAAGTAGGTGTATTATCTTGGTATGATATTCATGAATAATGCCGCTATAATCAAGCTGTTTACTACGAATTGTTTCAGGAAAATACCACAAAACACTCTTGAACAGGCTGATACTTAAACAAAATTCAGTGTTTTGTAACAACTCGACAAAAGACATTCTACGAAAACAGGAGTATTTTAAATTGTTTGACGGGGTTCAAGTAATAGAGGATCACGCTCAATAAAATACATAATTATAAAAATGATAATCAAGTCTCGCATTTAAGAAACGTATTACTCATTGGTACTCTTATCTATACAGAATGACTCATTTTTGTTGAAGTCTCAGCTTAAAATTGCTCAGCTTATTTAAACTTTTTCTATCACCGAAAATCTTTTATTTGTAAATAAATATTTTCATGAAAAGTTTTTTCAAATTTTAAATGCTTTCTTAGCAGAAATTCCATCGCAATATTGAATTTCTTTGCTAAATTGTATTCGTAATTTTGACAGATGTACAAAGAAAATATTCTGTCTTTCATTGATGAAATTATATTGGTGAAAGTAGTGAAAACTGGCAAAAAAAAACGTTCTTTAGTCATTACTAAAGATGATAATTCACGTAAATGCTATGATTCATTTGAGATATGAAACGTAACGTAAGTTAATCATAATTTTAAATACGCACGTTTTCATAATTTAAACAAATTATTCCCTACTTTTATTTGCTATAACAGTACACTGCCAGTTTCATAGATTCAAAGCCATGTATGAACGAAATAACTGATCAGTGTCATTTGCATAACTAGTATAAAATACATATTTACTAATGATTATTAGGACTAGTAGCTGTTGCGAACAAAAAATGAATTGCAAGAACGAACACAGAAGGAAATGTTATTTCCAATTTTTCCTTAAATTCTACTGCGAGATCATCGTGATAGTCACAAAACCGTAGTTCATTAGATAATTAGAATATGAGGAAAGTTTATATGATACCAGGATGTGGATTTTGAATTAAACAAATACGATTTTTTTGAGGCAAATACTAATGTGTAAATATTTTTCATGGCAGGTAAATCAGTGTTTTAAGCATTCGCGAGCAAATTTGAATTATGTTCATTAAGGAGAAATCTCGGTGGTCTCGCGTTTTGAAGCATAAAAAGGTGGTTTGTTTATATTTATACCCGTATTTTCTCACATTTTAATTAACACTATCGTTTCTTAAACCTCTTATTGTGACCCAAAAGGGTTTAATTTTGTTCCATATAGTTGTAATGAGTTTATTCATTATTGGCAAAACTATCATACGGATATTTACACGTTAACACAAGCTATTAATGTTTTAAATAAATATAGTATGCTTTCATAACATTGTTATTCTCAATATTAGTGCTTGTTTTTCCTTTAAACATGCATTTTCATTTCAAAACATTTGTCTCACTTTATGGACTTTATTTTTAAATTAAATTATGAAAAACTGAAATATAATGAAACATTACGGCTCTCTTAAAATACTTAATCAGCATTTATTATTATTTCAACAAATTTAGAGATATTGTTGTTTCTTTTTAAAATGCAATTGAATATAAATATTTAAGTACTGCATTCCTTATAATCCAAAGCCCCATCAGTGGCCAAGTAGTTTAGACTGTTGAATGCTGCTAGTTCGGAGTGGATACAGAACTAGGTGACCGGGATGGCTGTATGATTATTTTTCGAGGCTTTTTCCAAATTTATCAAGAATGCGAGTGACTGTTCCTTAGAAAGCTCTGTACAAAGGCGTGCCTTCCCTTGTGTGCTTTGCCATATTCAAGTAATCTAACCTAAATTTCCGAATCTAAAACCGACTTTGTTTCTACGCGCATAAATTTCGCTCAAAACAGGGAGCGTCTGTAATTCGATGGTTTCGTCTGAGAATCACAAGTTGTTCAATGTTACTAGATTTTTCGAATTATTAAATTTTTCCAACTTGCTAATTTAATTAAGAATACTATGTTTATTAACCTGAATCTTCGAAACTGAGATGCACTTTCCTTTTGCCCATAAATTTCGTTAAAATCAGAATGCCTCTTAGAATTGATGGTTTTGTCTTATAAATTGGTTAGCATTACCAGTTTTTCGAAATATTAAATTTTTCGAATTTAATAATTTAATTAGGAATATTATTGCTATTAATAAATAAAAATCCATTATTTAAATATTTGCTAAATATATTTTATTAGTTCCTTTTACAATATTCTTTTTTTCACGATCAAAATCTTTTTCTTTGCTAGTACTAAGTTATCCTATAAATAATGCCGCTTTTGCAATATGAACTAAAAGTCCAAGGCGGACGGGGTAAACTACCTGCATCAATTCGCTATAAAAACAGACATAATTTTAATCTTGTTCTCAACTATTAGCGCAAATTTTCAAGAGCGCAGGTCGATTTTAAGTTATTTTTTCAAAGCTAAGCCGAAATGATAAAGGACCATATTTGGGATCAATAGTAGTTCCAGAAATTCCGAGCCGGAAAACTATAGCTTTGATGACAAGTCTCTTTCTAAAAGATCTGTAGAGATCCACAAAGATATCCTAAAAACCCTGGTGTAACAAACTCTCACAGTAACTATCGAGAATTTACACAGAAGAAAGAAGATCAGAGTATATTTTAGATTGAAAAATATATTTGAAAAGTAAAAGAAGTATAAAGAAATGAGATTATATATGGGATAACTAGGTAATATCCAAATTAAGGGATGTTACTTAGAATCAATGATATCTTGTAGAAGCATTGGGGTTTTTACCGCAGTAGGAAGCATATAAAATGTGAAATGCCGTCGCGGGATTCGAACTTCGCATTAACTAGCTCGACATGTTTCAAATCATTCAACGAAGGCTCGCGGTAACAAGGAAGAAAAAGTCTTACAATCTTAGAATACAAAAATAAGATATATCTTCGCAGTATAACTGCTAACTGTCGCGCTTAATAATTTACCGTTCAATTGACTTTAATATTCCGTATTCTGTAACTATAACATAAAATTTATAAGCTATAATTATTTATAAACTGTAAAAATCTGTCAACAACATGTTATAAATTATTTATAAATTAAAATTTTATGAAATACAGATGAAAAACACACCAAAGTGAAATATAAAATTAAGCAAAGTACCAGCCTTGAGTTTGGAGTAGGTATTCTTTGCTACTGATAAAGAGGAACCTGCACTTGTTTGCCCTCGAAATCGATAGGGTCTTGACTAAAATCAATCCACAAAGTTGTTGCTTTGCCTAATTTTATAGATTATAAACTTAATTCTCAACAATTAAGAAATGACACCGATTTGCTAAAAGTTGTTACTGGCATTAACCAGTTACTACATTGTTTTCTTTAGCCTCGAAAAAAATCTAATAATAAATTCAGCTACTCTATCGGTTTATAATTAGCTTTAACGTTTAATAGCAGGGGTGAAAATCGAACGCCCGTTTCGACGGGTCTCTGTCAAGAGAAGGGGTGTTTGGTAACCCTATGGAAAGCGAAGACGCAGGCGCGGGATTGGAGAATTGCTCATTGCCCCATCCTTTTACCGCGGGAGAGAGCACGAGACGGCGCTGATCGACGTCATACGCTGCGGCCGCCACCCCTCTCGACAGCGGCGGATGCCCGGGAGTCCATTCGCCGGCCCCTTCTCCGCAGACGACAACTCGTTGACAAGAAAGAGGGTAAGTCATTTCTTAATCAAAAACTTCCTTCCTTTTGAGTCAGTCTTCTCTTATCTCGTTGCTGCGACGAGAGGAACTCAGCGCGTGTTGCCAGTTTGGGAAATGATAATTGTGCTGACAGAAACGAGAGAGAAATGACGATTTCTTCGACAGCTGACTCAGAGATTTTGAGCGATTAGTGATCATATGCTGTGTCAGCTAATCAGATTCGTCGCGGCTAAAGTTAGTAGTAAAAAAGATATTAACTTTTTGAATTTAGAATTGAATTTTTCAGTTGTCTTTTGATCCTTTGGAATTTAATGATGTAAATATGAGCATCATGATCTTTTAAAAAATGCAAGAAAGTTTCCTCTTAAATATATTTTACCAAATTAAGAATTAAGTTATAAAGATTAGAAAACACATCGAATGAATTTAAGAAGAAAACAAATAATCGCAGGAAGTACGATTCGGGGAATAATGTTCTTAAATAATTTTTTGAAAGAAGTTGCAATTTAAAGAAAGATTTAAAAATGTTATTGAAACAGGAATATACTAAAAGAAACTGATCGATCTAAATTTAATATTCTGAATATGTAGGTGTATCAGCTGTAAAACTAATCATAATTTAATTAACACTGAAAGCAAATTAAATTACATTGAAAGGAAATACTACAAACTTTACTTTGAGCTTTTGTGCAATCCATAATTATACTTGCAATGATATATATGTGCTATATATGTGTGTGTGACTGTATGCGTGTCTGCGTAAATGAATGAACTGTAACATCTTCAATTATAAACTATTAAACAACTTTACCGTAAGCAATAAAATTTTCCCTTGTCTAAAGAAAATTTCAAAACATTTCAATGGAAAAAAAATTATACGCATATGGGAAAAACAACATGGAGTCCTACATTTAGTACATGTTTCCGATATGTATGTTTAAGGGTTGTTGTAACCCAAAAATCTTCAAAAAATTGTGATTTCGGATTTTTGCATTTTCAAATTCTCTACACTTTTATCTTTCTAAAAATATCCTTCTTTAATCTCTATCAAAATTATAACTGTAAAAAAATTCTAGTTTTAATTTGTCATTGACTGCTTTGATGAATGAGGATTTTTACATAAAAACTGGTTTTTGTCGAAACGTGATTTTTTTTATACTCGATGTACCTTTCTCTGGAAATACTGCTCACAGGTATCTAAAATTCTTATGGCTTATTTATTAGATTTCCTAATATTTACTGAAATGACCTTTTCGTGATAAAATAAGGGGAAAATATTAAACAAATTTTTTATGTGAGAAAAGTGCTCAATTTTACTATGCCTAAAAACATATTCTGTAAATTACTCTAAAATTTAAAATGTTTCAAAAGCTCATTTCGGTATAATCAAATAGGTATACTTTTTAATTACACAACAAATTTCAAGCGTGTATCTACAGCAGATATTGAGAAAAGGTACACCGAAAATGGCCAATTTAACATTGTCAGTATAGAGATTGCTGATGTCCCCTTAATCTAATATGCATAATAATCCCAAACAAAATGTATTGGGAATTAAATACTTCTGATAAAAATGTCTGTATAATTCTATTCCTACAATACCCTGAAATATGAGCTACGCAATTACGCGATGCAACAGAAGCTTCTTCCACCATTAAATGGAACTTGGATTCTCATTCGTGATTATGAAGGTGATCTCAGTAAAATATCAGCATCTTCATTCCTGTCATCCAGAAGTTCTTTTTATTAAACACACTGTAATGTGTTGCAGTTTTTAATTAAAACATTATGTACAGTATTTTGATAATTACAATAAAGCGAATTTTATAATATTAGTCTAAATTTAAAAGCAATCGTAAAAGTTTATATTTTTGTATATGTGTAAATTAAATGCGTCTAAATTCTTATTGTAAATTTCTCCAGATACATGAAGTTGCATGAGAAGTTATTAAATCTTAAATCGAAAATCAAAAATTTTAAGATGAAGAGTTATCTTAACGATACTGTAAAATACCTTATTTTAAAATGGCATGCTTTTTCTGTTTTTCTACTTTTCAGTGAAAGATTTGTACCAAGACATACATAAATATAAAATATAAGTCACAAAAAAGAGTATTTTAACAATGTTTATTTTAAGAAGTATTAAAATGCATTTCTCAAATATTACGCATTTTAAATAATCTTTCACTAAAAAACAAAATATAAAATTAGTATCATGTACTTCCCTTCTTCTTACTCATAATTAGAAAGATTTTGTTTGAAAAATCATGTTTAAAAATGCTACTAAATGCGATGCATGTGAAGCGTTTTGACGATTTCAAAATTGCTGCTGATAATTTTCGAAAATTATTTGTTAAAAATAATAATAGTGTGTAACAGAATCTAATCTTTCTTGACTTGTTTCCTAGCCTGGTGCACAAAATTATATATCAGCTATGAAATTTCATAGGATTTATGATATATGAAAAACTAAATTCTGTACTTTAATGAAGATTTTTTATTATTTGGATGCCTCAAAGCAGCGTAGAAAGTTTTCAAAAGAAATAATTACATGCACGATTATGAAAAGATAATTTTCTCTCTATTTATACGCAGCACGAAAAATATTAATATAGTGAGTGATTATCCAGAACTGGTACAAAGCATTGTCTTCAGAAAACCAAGATGAAAATTAAATCTTGAAAAATTTATGCAAAATGCTTTTAGATAAAAATAAGGTCTTAAGGAAAAGAACTGAAGTGTTCCAGTTGAACAGTTTCCAGACTGTTCAACTGGAGTTATTCCAAACATATTCTATACGACTGAGTTTCAGCGAGTACGCTTGTCATTTCACTCAAATAATAATTCCAATTCCAAGTTATTTACTTGTCATAGATATTCAGATTTGGAAATAAACGTCCATTCGGTGAAATTCTGGAGTTGTAGAACACTGAAAGGTCTAACTTAGGAATGCCAGACATTTGTGTGTGTGGTCTGTTTTAGAGCCTCAATTATAAGTACGCAGACAGATGTGACATTTAATCAGAGTTCCTTTCTTGACATACAACCCATTGCCAGGAAACTAGAATTTTCATTAATATTCGATTCAATGCTACTTAATTCACGCTTTCTATACATAAAGATGCATTACGAATTAAAAGAGAGATAAGAGTCATTTCTGTCTCAAACTTTGAACTTTGTCAGAGCCTAGTCTGTAAAAGTGTAAGTATCTCCTTTCAAGGAAAAAAAATTGCTATCACCAAAGTCTTGCGTTAAAGCAATTTTCTCAATTTATGAGAGAAACCTAAGAGTTTGCTTACTTTTATGAAGAAAAATGGAAATCGGAAATACTGCTTAGCTTCTGTATTATACAATTATCAGGAAAAAGTAGGACGTATTTATAAAAGGGGACGTACATTAAGAGCAGTTTTTAGGTTGGTGTGATTGCCCCAAAATGCAAGCGATATAAAGATATACTAGTTGATGTAGTCCAGGATACTATGGTATTTATAGTTTTGTCCAATCGCTGCAACAAAGCAATGAAGTTCAACTGCAGACATATGAGAATACAGGCTTATAAATGCATTTAATGGAAATTTTCGTCTGTATCCTTCATCCTAATTGAGTAGGGTTTCCCTTAGTTCATTTAACCTATTATACAAATTTTTGTTATCTTTCCTGAACTCCCTAACTTCCCCTCGCATTTTCTCTCCAGGATGTAAATTAAAATTTAATTTAAGTGAGTATTTAAACGGGTGAATCTTGGAGTTTATTCAGAGCGTGTTTTCTCTAGCCAGCGCACGTTTCGTTTCTGACCTTGAACCTTTAGGCCATTTGAATAATTTTTACGCTATTAGGTTGTCGAGTTAATCTAGGTTAGCCGTAACTTAAAGTGCTAATCCAGCATTATTCTTTTTAGACTTGACTTGATTTGTGCAACAACGCTTAAGTTCCATCGCAGTTTCTCGTGGCTATTGTAAAGCACGAAGTATGTACCCTTCTGTTTATAGTTGAAAATAATAAAGGGTTATTTTTACCCTTCTTCTTTGCTGGTATAATTTCACGCCTGTGCGAGAAGTCGCCAGGTTCATTAACTGGATCTAGATTAATTTATGTGGCAAAAAAGGATTAGGTCGTATAATAGGACAGGGAGCGTTTTAACTGCATCCATCACCATCTTCTTTCCCTCAGCCTCTCATATTTCAGCTTGGTGCTGCTGCCATCAAGCCTTCCACTTAGTTGATTTTCTTCCGATTTCGACAGGTGAAATTACGTTTCGTGTTCTATTTTTAACATTTACTTGGGCATTATAATCTTGCCTTTTGTTTGCCTTTATACTTGCCTTTATATTGCCTTTGTACTTTATGCGTTACATTGTAGAGACATTAGGTTATTTCAAAGCAAGATAGATGAAAAATGAGCTATGCCCTCGCCGGGATTCGAGCCACGGACCTCTCGAATTCACGTCGAGCGTGCTGACCCCTACACTATGAAGGCATGCTAAGCAGGCGGGAGAAGTACCTTATAATATTACGGCAAAAGTTTATATAGAGGTGCAAGAGAACAGTAGAAATATTTCTTGCATTAATTTATTCATTTTATTCAGGCTTTTCAGAGGTAACACAGCAATTTTATTCCTTCTTAAATGATGGTAGCATGGTACATGAAGAATGTGTCATTTTTGAAAGAAGGGAACTTGATCTCGCAGAATAAAAGCATGCTAACTTTATTCGATTTACATTTGGCATTTCTAATTTTACGACAAAATATTTTTCTTTTTAAGTGTTTTAGAGTTTTTTAATGGAAATTCAGTAACAATACTAACTGAACTGGAGCACAGTTCGTAAAATGTAATTTATTAAATTTGCTAATTAGAAGATTAAAAGTGTATACAAGTTTAGGTAACTATACATCTGTAAAACTAATTAATAAAAATTATTAATAAAAATATTTACATGAGCCCGGAAAATAGTCATTTTTATTTAACAAAGAAGCCAACTTTCAACGGTTAATGCACTTTTCAGGTAAAAACA